AAGCCTAGATTTTATTCGGTTAATATTTTTTGTGTCGAATTTTCAGTTGATAATTCAAATTCTATTTTTATAAAATTATTTTACTTTACGTATACTCTGTCGATTTTAAAAACATAATATTTAATCATAATTATAATATTAGAAAAAAGGTAAAATTCTAATATTACACCTGTTCTGTGTTCTAATTCTTTTGGCAGGTGTATATTCAATATGTAATTCAATTAATGTTGATATAATAATTTGTAAATCATTAGAATTTAATATGTTATGTTATAAACAGTTTTATTATTTTAAAAGACTTGTTAACATTTTAAATTTGTGTAGTCATCCTGCAGTATAACTTTTTTTTTTTTTTTTTTTATTGCTAAAATGTTTATTACTTTAACGATATATTGAAAGTTATAACCAGAATAATAAGGAAAAACGCATTGTTTTGTCCTCTTGGATATTATCTTCTTTTAATTTTATAGTAGATGATTTTACTCTAAAACCAAAATTAAGTAAGTTCTACGCAGGAGGAAGATTTTGCCAATTCACACGTTAGTTGGAGTGAATCAGCGCACGTGGGTATAGCGTCTACTTAAAAGAAAATATTTATTTCGATTACTTACGAATTCTCTCGTTTCGGTACAAGCTTAGCTTTTGAAACGGAATTTAACCCAATGTTTTTTTTATTTTTTGTTTTTCAAATGTATTACCGAAATTGTTTTGGTGTAAATAAATATATTATTATTATTATTGTAATACAATTATAATCAATATTAATTTAAAAAAAACTGTTTAACGTTTCCTTTTTACAGTCGGGGTATAGTTTTGTGCCCTTGCCACAATAAACGTAAGAGTATCTTCGATTTTTCATCATCTTTTATTAAACTTCCATCGAAATCTTCCATAAGTTAAACTGTTTTTTCAACAGTGTCATTTAGTGAGTATACAATTTCTTTTCCCAGTATATAATTAACATGGTTATTCCATTTACTTGGATTATTTTGCGAAAAATCTGTATTTATTCCCAATCGAGAAAAAAATGTCATACATTTTTTCGCAAGTATCATCTGGTGTAAGAATAAAATGTTATTTTGTTAATAAATTATTTGGTTCGTTATTAAGAGCTTGTATCATAAACAGTCTGGTTTTGTTTGGAATCGTGTCGTCAAAGAATGTTAAAGCAACTGCCTTTTTTGTTAAGTACCAAGCGATTTAAGAATTATGATTACAAATTCTTTTTATAGCAGTTTTTGAAATATTTGAATGTTCTTTGTCGTATAGTAATAAATCTTTTATACGTATTAAATCATTAGCTGGTGCTTAACCGGTATTGTACAATTAAACCAAGCTTTTTAAATAAAATCGAATAATAAAAACACATATAGGTATTACCAATAGCAATTTTTTCCGTAAAAGATAGGGAATATTGGTTTTTAAAAATATATATTTTTAATCAATAAACAGCTTGACTGATCCAAAGAGTTTTGATACATTACTCCAGGAGAACGTAATTTCCGTTTTTTGTCAACATTCAAACAAATTATAAACGCTACGATTTGCTATATATTCAATTTATAGGCATCTCTAAAACATTTATTTTGCAACGTAGCTCGAAAAAAGTGGAAAATACCATTTCGTGTATTTTCTAACGCAGAATTACACTCGTTGTCATCTATTCCAGAAATAATGCAGTTGCACCATAGCGTAGAACTCAAACAACATTAAATACACCCCGAGTTTGTTCATGGTCCGTTGACTTTCCCAGTTTTGGAATACCAATAGGCAAATCTATATTTTTACTGGTAATACCAATATTGGTAACCTATCAATACTCGAGTCACTGACATTTAACGTTGGTAGAATTTGTTCGTCCCAAAGCATGATTAAATAAATAATTAGGGAGAACATTTGGAAACTCCGTTTTTATTATGTTAGCATGTTCAATACGTAAAACATTACGACATTGATGAATTGAAGATTTATTTATAATTAAACTATTAACATCACATTTAACCTAAAGCTACAGTTGTAGTTTGAATTACATACATCGAGTCTCGTACACTTAATTTACACCGATCTAATGCATAAAAAATTTTAGGTATAGTAAAAATGTATACGGCTTCTTTTTATTTCTAACAGTGGTGTACAATTGGATTTTTCATTTTCAGAATTTGATGGCGATAATGGTAAACTTATAGACATGTCTGATTGACTAATTTATTACTATTGAATTATAGTTTGAAGTCGATGGATTTGCTATTTGAAATTCTTCGTGTGTTCGTTTTTTTTTTCTTCTGCTTTTACGTTTATTCGATTTATCTTCTTTTTCCTGTAATATTATGTCTATTGTCTATACCACCAAGTCACCCAATTAATTAAAAACTGTTCGTCAATTTCTATTTTCATAATATTTAAAGAATTTGTATGTGCGATATCGAATAAGTTATTAAGTTTATGAATAAAGTCTGTTTCTTTTAGTTTAAATGTTTTACTTTCTTGTTGTGAATTTGTTTGTAGATCGCGCCATTCTCCATACAAACTTAACAGCTTACTTATTCAATGTTGAACAGCTAGAATAGGAGGAATTCAAACCTTTTCCCAGAAAATGTTACACTCACGAACAGTCAATGCCGCACTGTCTCTCGTATTAAGTTTCACTGTTTTAACATTATTAAAAAAAAACTCATACTACTTGCCTAATTGATGGGAGCTTTGCATCTAAAATTTGGGTCGATTCAGGCCAAATTAAAAATATTTTATCATCGCTTCAGAAAATTTTAGACATTTTTATATAAAATCAGCTTAAAGATACATGAAAAACCAGTATTAAGATATTGGGAACGATGCAGCCACTATTGTAGGTAGGAAGTAGAGAAGATAGGATACAGATGAGAATATAGTGTATATATGTACGCAGTGATTAACCATTGCTAAGGAAAAAGGGATTCTGAACGGAATTCAGTTGATAGTATTGCTACATAATATTATGGTAAAATAATTACATGCCTATGCATTAAATATTTCTTTAATAATATTTTTTTAATATTGTACTTATTTTCTCGTTTTTTTTCTTAGTTTTCTCATGTTTTTTTCGGTTTTTCTAATTTATTGGGAAAACTAATAGGAAAATCAAAAAACGACCCCCCCTTAAGTGCCACCACAGTTAGATCCGTTTCACAAAAAGTGCTATCACTGTAAACCGGAGCAAAATTGTTGGTAGAAAAGTTGTGCACAGATATAAAAATAATAAATAAATATTGTAAAACCAGTACATGCATCTCTCCACTCAGAATTTAAAACGTGATAATAAACGACGTAATCCAAAATACGCGACGTACACGATTAAAATATCATTAGTGATAAAATCAGCCATAACTCATAATCTATAACAGTATACCATTTCTAATATTTATCAATATATATTAATAATAGAATCGTACATATGATAAGCATAACGGTTCTGTAACAATAATTTGCAATAAAAAAACATTAATATTTTCAAGAAAACGATATTTTTGACGTGATGTTGCTGGTCTGTAGTGTGACGTTCACATTCCATTTAATGTAAATCGATCTTATTCACCAAAGTGAAAATATCTTGTGAATAATTGGGAATATCAAGAAGCATATTAGAATAATATTTAAAGCAGATTAAAATGTACTTAAAATACGTAATATTATAATAAATTTCAATATTCCTATCCATTTACGAGGAATTTACAAAAATGGTAAACGTTCACATAAATAATGAGTAGGTGTACTAGCATACTCAAATTTAAAATTAAATTCGTCACAGCTTAACCTTAACATTTTATCAATAGGTACATTTTCCGTAATTCATTTTTTTATTCATATAGGTAAAAAAATTTATGGGGTGGGATTGAAAAGAAAAATTAGATTGAGAAATAAGGGATGCTCTGATATATATATTTAGAGTCAATTATAATTTGTAAATTGTTTTGATTTTTAGAAGAAAAACGAAGAAATTATTCATGAAGAATCAGGTAAATAGTTAAATTTATCCATAACATTAAAGCCCTTATCATATTAATATTATTAGAAATATATTTTTAATTATTATACCGGCAATTAATAGAATATTTAACACGTTAAGAGGATGGCACACCGACATCTACTGTCTCCGTCCGACAAACGCAAGGCACAGCGAATTTACGTTCAGTACACATTTTGTGTCGTCAGTTTTAATATATTAAAGCCAATTGACTAAAGATAAAAGTAAGAAGATTGTAAATGCCTAAGCGTTGGTGATTTTTCGATATTTTTATTTTTAAATGAGACATGAGTATGTTAAATATCACAATTTAAAAATTATTATAACTTGCTTAAAAATTAAAATATTGAAATGACACCAACGCTAGGACATATATTATAATTTTTTTATCTTTAAGTTTGGTAACAAGTTAATTTGCTTTTATATTAAAACTAACGGCACAAACTGTGTCCTACTGAATGCAAATTTGCTATGTTTCGCGTTTGTAAGACGGAGACGGCAGGATGTCGGTGTGGCGTCCTCTAAAACATTTTTTTCTTCTCTAAGTTCATAAAGTACAGGTTTAATATTTATTACAAATATGTGTTTCATTCATCATATGGGCAATTATTAAAATATTTTATAAAGTAAACATCTTTTTTCTATAAGTTTACTAGGTACTGTTTATTTATGTAAAAGTACCAAAAATTATATAGAATAATGTAGATTTTGATATTTACTTTATTTATCTATTTATATTGTATTAAAATTGTTCCACAGGTACAATAAAGAGTACAGATAAAATTCAAATGTCATGTGTATGCAATACTCAGGTCAAAAAGGATCCCATTAGTAAGATTTGCCAATCTGCACCTGGATATAATCCATCATCATTAAGGAGCCCTAAAGGATATATTTTAGTAACATTTTGTTTTTTTAATACCCGCCTGTTTATATGTTTAGAGTAAAATATAATTTGTACATTTTTGTGATTTTTAGAACACTGATGACAGATATACAAATGAAGAATATGGTAAGTAGATAAAGTTATTCATAATCAATCTTCATCTTAATAATATTATTAAAAACATATCACCCGGGCAGTTATTAAATTATTTCATATAGTAAACATTTTTTTTCTCTAAATTTACTTGACATCGTTTATTTACATAAAATTACCAGTATTATATAGAATAATGTACTTTTTAATATTTACTATATTGATCTATTTATATTGTATTAAAAATGTTCGTTAAGGTACAATAAAGAGGATAGCTAAAATTCTAAGGCCATGTGTATGCAACACTCAGGACAACAAGTTTTCCATAAAGAAGAGCTGTCAGTATTCACCTGGATATAATCCATCATCAATACGGAGTCCTAGAGGATATATTTTAGTAATATTTTGTTTTAATTACCCACCTATTTATATGTTTAGAGTAAAATATAATTTGTACATTTTTGTGTTTTTTAGAGCATTGATGACGGAAATATAAATGAAGAATCTGGTAAATATTTAAATTTATTTATAATCAAGTCTTCATCTCATTAATATTATTACAAATATATGTTTTATTTATCATCCCGGCAATAATTAAAAAAATTTCATATAGTAAACATCTTTTTTCTATAAGTTTACTAGGTACTGTTTATTTATGTANTTTTGTTTTTTTAATACCCGCCTGTTTATATGTTTAGAGTAAAATATAATTTGTACATTTTTGTGATTTTTAGAACACTGATGACGGAAATATAAATGAAGAATCTGGTAAGTAGATAAATTTATTCACAGTCAAGCCCTTATCGTAGTAATATTATTATTTATTACAAATATATGTTTTAGTTATCATACCGGCAACTATTAAAATAGTTCATAAAGTAAACATTTTTTTTCTCTAAATTTACAAGGCACCGTTTATTTATATAAAAGTACCCGTATTGTATAGAATCATGTAGGTTTTAATATTTACTTTATTGATTTATTTATATTGTATTTAAAATGTTTCATAAGGTACAACACAGAATATAACTAACATTCTAATGCCAATTGTAAGTAACACTCAAGACAAAAAGGTTTCCATAAAGAAGAGCTGTCAATATTCACCTGGATATAATCCATCATCAATACGGAGTCCTAGGGGATATATTTTAGTAACATTTTGTGTTTAATAACTACCTATTTATTTGTTTAGAGTAAAATATAATTTGTATATTTTTGTGATTTTTAGAACACTGATGACGGAAATATAAATGAAGAATCTGGTAAATATTTCAATTTATTTATAATCAAGTCTTCATCTTATTAATATTATTACAAATATACGTTTTATTTATCTTCCCGGCAATAATTAAAAAATTTCATATAGTAAACATCTTTTCTCTCTAAATTTACTAGACACCGTTTATTTATATAATAGTACCCATATTGTATAGAATCATGTAGGTTTTAATATTTATTTTATTGATTTATTTCTATTGTATTGAAAATGTTCCATAAGGTACAACACAAAATATAGCTAACATTCTAATGCCATGTGTATGTAATACCCAGGACAAAAAGGATTCCATTAGTAAGATTTGCCAATCTGCGCCTGGATATAATCCATCATCATTAAGGAGCCCTAAAGGATATATTTTAGTAACATTTTGTTTTTTTAATACCCGCCTGTTTATATGTTTAGAGTAAAATATAATTTGTACATTTTTGTGATTTTTAGAACACTGATGACGGAAATATAAATGAAGAATCTGGTAAGTAGATAAAGTTATTCATCATCAAGCCTCATCTTAATAATATTATTAAAAACATATCTTCCCGGTAATTATTAAAATATTTCATATAGTAAACATTTTTTTTCTCTAAATTTACTAGGTACAGTTTATTTATATAAAATTACCCGTATTGTATAGAATAATGTACGTTTTAATATTTACTATATTGAAGTATTTATATTGTATTCAAAATGTTCCATAAGGTACAATAAAGAGTACAGCAAAAATTCTAATGCCATGTGTATGCAACACTCAGGACAAAAGGGTTTCCATAAAGAAGAGCTGTCAATATTCACCTGGATATAATCCATCATCAATACGGAGTTCTAGAGGATATATTTTAGTAATATTTTGTTTTTAATACCTACCTATTTATTTGTTTAGAGTAAAATATAATTTGTACATTTTTGTGATTTTTAGAACACTGATGACGGAAGGATAAATGAAGAATCTGGTAAATATTTAAATTTATTTATAATCAAGTCTTCGTCTTATTAATATTATTACAAATATATGTTTTATTTATCATCCCGGCAATAATTAAAAAAATTTCATATAGTAAACATCTTTTTTCTCTAAATTTACTAGACACCGTTTATTTACATAAAAGTACCCGTATTTTATAGAAAAATGTAGGTTTTAATATTTACTATATTGATCTATTTATATTGTATAAAAATGTACCATTAGGTACAATAAAGAGTACAGACAGTATTCTAATGCCAAGTGTAAGCAACACTCAGGACAAAAAGGTTTCCATAAAGAAGTGCTGTCAATATTCACCTGGATATAATTCATCATCAATACGGAGTCCCAGAGGATATATTTTAGTAACATTTTGTGTTTAATAACTACCTATTTATTTGTTTAGAGTAAAATTTGTACATTTTTGTGATTTTTAGAACACTGATGACGGAAATATAAATGAAGAATCTGGTAAGTAGATAAAGTTATTCATCATCAAGCCTCATCTTAATAATATTATTAAAAACATATCATCCCGGTAATTATTAAAAAATTTCATATAGCAAACATCTNTTCTCTCTAAATTTACTAGACACCGTTTATTTATATAATAGTACCCATATTGTATAGAATCATGTAGGTTTTAATATTTACTTTATTGATCTATTTATGTAGTATTAAAAATATTTCATTAGGTACAATACAAATCGCAGGTCACACGTATTTTTCAGTGTCAAGTATTGAAAACAGTCTGTCCATGTCAGCAGGGGCAGATGATGAAGTAAATACAAGCGTTACACAATCGTATGAATTTAATACTGCATCAGTAAGTTAATATTAACTTTTTGATACCTTTGTGGTTATTTGTCAAGTAAATGATAAATAAAGTACCCACTCATGATATTAATTGCTTTGACTATTAATTTAACTAGGTGTGAACACATGAGCTCTCTTAAAAATGTCAATATCCCTTTCCTCAAACTTGTTCTGTTTTCTTTTTGAACTGTTGACATTTATGAAATTGAATATTTCTCGACCTAATATAAATTAATGTATAATAATAGGTAAGTACCAAAGTGTTTATTTCTGAGTAATTGGGTAATGGATATTGTGTTCTTCTCCTTCGCCATCAACCCAACTATTTGTGGTTTGTCACCCTTGTCCTAAACTTCCATTTGACCCAGTCATCGTCCTCGCATATACCTGCTTCCCTTTTATCATTCTCAATCGCACCCAACCAACCACCTTGTTTTTGATCTGCCTCTCCCCATCTTTCTTCCCGCGTTTTTTTTCATTACAATTCTTACTGCTCTCGATTCGTCTATCCTCACAACGTGTCCAAATCATTTCGGTGCAATATCACTTATTTTGAATTAGAGGCTGCACCCGGGTACCCGGGTTAAGGAGGATCGAATCAATACAACATGTTTCTTTTAATAATAGTGTATAGATATCATTGAAATATTAACTTTATATAATAATTAATTATCGATTTTAATAATTAAAAATTATTACGTATTATTAATGTATTATTTTGTAGATTGAATGAGTGTGAATGTTATTAATGCAGGAGCGAATGTAGTTATTTTTTATTTTTTTGGCGAGGTTCGAAAATTTTAAAATATTCATAAGTATCTTTCTTTATTACTATATACATACACATAGCATATATGTTAATTAATAATTACATTAAAAAACAATAGCTATGAGTTTTGTTACTTGACTATTATATCAATGCCCATTTCGAAAGTCACCTTCATCATGTCTCTAAAGAGTGTCTCACGAAGATAGGTACTGTCATTTCGATATCTTGGAAAGTATAACCATTTTCGTATTTGTTTTTAAGTAATTTAATAATGTGTACCTGTAAGCAACGATAAACCATTGCTTATGAAAAAAAACGATTCTGAGCAGTTCAGTTGATAATGATGCTTTGCCAACAATATAATACGTAATTTTATAGTAAAATAATTAAATATGCTTTATATATTTTTTTTAATAATATTTGTTTAATGTTGTACCGATTTTACCAGTTTTTCTACGTTTTTCCGCTGTTTTTTTTTCGGTTTTTCGTATTTGATGAGAAAACCCTTAAAAAAAATCAAAAAATAACCTTCCAAAAGTACCTCCCCACAGCGAATTCCGTTCAGAAAAGTTGCTACACTTAAAAATCTGAGGAAGTATTCTGGTAGAAAAGTTGCGCACAGATAAAAAATAAACATCGTTATAAAACTATAAACTTTTTCACTCCACTCAGAATCTAAAACAAGCAGATCTAAATTGTTACATTTCTATTATTCTTTGCCACTCTTACCTTGAGGGGGTTACATTAACTATCTAGTTTTGATTTTAAAATGACAATCTATAATGAAAATTATATAAATATATATAGTATTAGTTCAAATAAAGATATAGACATTTTTGATTTCTGTTAACCTGTAGACGAGATATTTTAATTTTAAGTTTCGATTGTTAAAGTGGAGTATCATTTGGTTGGTATTATGGGCGCGTAGTGTTTTAATAATGGTCCACTACTCTTTCCCTGAACAAACATAAAAGCGAAATATCCCGTCAACGGGTTGACGGATATTAAAAACGTGAACGTTAGAATTTATTCAAAATAAAACTCCATATATTCGTGTAATTTTATCTAAAGGGTGACATTTGAAAATCAAAATCTTTAATCTCCAAAAATAAAGGTGACAAAATATGTAACGTTTTGCTTGCAGAGCTGCTTGTCTCTTAAATTGTCAAACATTTTTTTTTTAAAAGTCAGTCTTTTTTGAAATAGTGAATGTTCCCCCGTATGTTACGTTGTTAGGGGGTTACGCAGGGGGTTACAACGATAAAAAATTTACTTTTTATTTTATATTATTGTAATATAGGTAATATAACGATGGCATAGCGCATAGATGTTGTAAGTGCTGTTTTCGTCATTTCCCTGAACAATTTTAAAGTTTATATTGCTATAACAAATCAAAAATGTATTTTATTAACATGAACTTTGTGTTATATTTTTCTTTAACAAAAAATGATTAATTAGGAATAAAAATTATTGTTCTTCTCCCAGACATATATAACAAAAGAAAACTGTACTTTACACATTTGTACTCGTAAAGAGTAATGTTTAAACACTTATAACATTTTGCTTTTATCTTTAATAAAGACCAACTGTAATAATGTTATAATATTATGTCTGCTTTATATTCTATAATGAATGATATTTGATATTTTCAAACCTAATTTAGCAGTAAATTATGACGTGTGGTAACTTCTTGTTAACTTATCAAAATATTATTATCAAACATTTTATTATTCAAATAATAGGAACTTCATTCAGTTTCCTCGTCATCTGAGAAAACTAGTGGTTTAGGTTTCTTAATAGTGGTCAACTCATCGTAAAAATGTTTATAATCGTGAGGAATTATTTTAAGTTTTTTTTTTCAATGCTATTATATGTAGTTTTTCCGAATATTTAGAACTCAAAATAATAGTATTCCATTATATCTAGCCTTTTTTTTTTCTTGAAACGTCCTTTTTTGAAATTCATTATACAGAGCAATTGACCAACTTAATTACCTTTACTTTTTGCATCATAAAACATAATAAAGACAGTATTGTTTTACAAGTTTATCAAGTACCTATATTAAAAATTGAAAAAAAAAAAAAACTAACAAAATAAAAATGTGTTCACAATATACAATTCACAATTTACCAAAATTTGTCGCTTACAACATCTGTGCGCTGTGCAATGGATAATAAATAATATTGGAATATAATAATAACTAATTAATATATGATTTAATATTTATAGACTGTGAAGAAAAATAATACGGAAAATTGTTTGAAAAGTATGTACCTAGATAGTTCACTATATTGTCATTCATCATAATAGTGAAAATAATTAATGGAACATCACTATTAATGGAGTAATTATAAATATATTATAATTATAGGATTTCAACAAGAATACAATGAGCTAATGAAACAAAGAAATGAGATAATGTCTTCGACTGAATATTCAGTATACCATACAATTTCTGAAATATCACCACAACCGACGTTCAATCAAAATATTGAACATGATCATGCCGCTCCAATTTTATTAAATGAATCGATAAAAACGAAACAGACTGGAAATGAATTAAATTCTATTGAAACAGTAAACAAATGGGAAGACGCCGGTAATATTACAATAAATTATAATAAAATAATTTGTCTAAGTTTTAAGTAATTTTAAATATTGAATCGTAAATAGGTAATTTAATTACAGTGTTTTAGACCCCGAGGGAGCGAGGAATGTATTGGTTTTACAATGATGTTTATTTTTATTATTTTTTTTTTCTGTAGACAACCTTTCCACCAGAAAATTTGATTCGACTTTTAAGTATAGCATTTCTGAAATAAAATCTGACTGACGTGGTACTTTATGGAAGTCATTTTTTGATTTTTTAAAAAAACGGGAAAAAACTGAAAAATCTACAAAATTTATCATATTTTCAAATTTTTGCTTTATTTTGTTTTGATTCGGTTAAAAATATTTGTGGAGACTTAATTTTGAACAGAAAACTTATATTTGATTTTTCTAAATGTGGTAAAATTTTCAAAACATTTTGTAGCCATTTTTGAACTATTTATAGACATTTTAGTTTTACCAGATTTTTTCACGTAGCTTTTGTTTGGTAGGTGGATAGAATTGTCAAACCAAACTCAAATGCTAGAAAATTTAATAGGAGGTTCATTAAAAGTTGTACTTAGTGGTAAAAAACAAAAAAATTTAAGTGAAATGTGAATTTTTTTAAAGAATTTCAATATCAGTTTGATGAAAATCTTTTTATAATTTTACTATCGAAGAAATTTTAATATAATGCATATTTAATTATTTTACTATAATATGACACATATATTGTTGACAAAGCAATACTATTAACCGAACTCTGTTCATTATCGTTTTTTCCTTATCAATGGTTAAACTTTGCGTATAGCTACACTATAAATTTCTCAGTATACCTTCCCAATTTCTTACCTATAACCGTGGCCCTGCTATCATGCGAAGTAAGTCCGTCCTTTTTGTTATTATTAATTAAAAAAGCTGGATACTGACTATAGTATTAAAAAAAAAAATCTGATTTTTTTATATTTATTTGATATTATTTTAACAATATTTAATGCTATTAATTCATGCTGTTGTTTTTTAAGGAAAGAGTATAAAACTCCTTAGATTTTGTTTAACTATGTAAGTCCTTAATTAAATTCACCATAATAGCAAGGTTTGTAGATAACAATTAGGTACTTACCAATGTTATAATATTAGTAGGTAACTATGTTATAATAAATATATTTAATGAGCATTAAATATCTATGTTACCTTAATTAAAATTTAATTTAAAATAAATCAAATTTGTACATTAAATTTTATATTTTCTAGTTATTATATTATTTATTTTCAATAATAGGATTTCAAGAAAAACATGATTTAATAAAAGAAAGAAATGAAAAAAAACCTGAATTTATTGAAATCAGATCACCAAAGACCGATAGTAAAAAATTTAATTCATACGATTCATTCTGTTCATGTGAATCGAATTCATGCTTTTCGGCTGAGTCGTGTAAATCCCATTCGTGCTTTTCGGCGGAATCATGTAAATCTAATTTATGCTTTTCGGCTGAATCATTGCAATTAAAACAAACTCGCTGTCAGTTGAATCCTAAAAAGACAGTAAACATGATGGAAATACCAAATAGCGGTTCAAATTATAACTGTAAGTTTAAATATTAAGGATGCAATTCTGGAGGAAACAGTTTCCGTTTTCATTAATTTTACTGAGGCGTTGAAACAGATCCTGGATCAGGATCCACTCATTAGTTTATTAATCTCTTAACCACTTAGACCCAGAATTTTTCTCCTCAAAAATTACCAATTTAATTTTTTTTTACTTTTCTGATCAATCATGTTTTCGAACCGTATACAATATCACATAAAACCAAGAAAGTACTGTTTGGTATTCATGTACCTAAGTATAGAACACAGGCAAATACAAAGATGTTATTGTATGTTTGAGCGAGCCTAAGAGTAAACGTTCATACACACAACGCTGACGTGACGCATTATCACGTCATCCCACGTGTAATATAATTTTCTGGCAATCGTACATGTATATATACATTGGCCTGGCGTGACGAGTGAACACGCAATCACGCGTCACACGGTGTCGCACGCGTCAGCTGCCGATCCAATTTTTAGATTTTTGTCAGTCGTGTGAAGCCGTGTGAAGGCAAAACATAGAGGAAGAGCTTATCGAATACGTAAGGGCTTGTCCCATGTTATTACGATTTTGAAAAAAATCACTACAGAAACCAAGTTGAGAGAGAAACCAATAGAGAGTAGAATTCCTCTTTGTTCATACGAAAATACGTTTGAAATCTCTGTTCATCTTCAAGCAACTGTGGCATGAGATGATGGTATTCACCGTATACCTTTCGGTTTAAATCGATAGGATGCACCCACGTTTTCTTATTCCCGCTGTTATTTATTATCATGGACGCTAAAACTGCTACATATTCTTCTTCCTCGTCGAGTTCATTCCAGTCCATAATTAGATTATTATGATTTCAGCGTCGTTTTCAGTACGAATGAACGCAATCGTCACAATCAACTGAATTGGTCACTTATAATATAGTGGCAGGGTGTTTGTATCTACCTCTGACGCGTGTAATACTGATTAGTGTGTACACTATTGACAGCTGACGTGTTCCCACGTGAAACGTATTACTGCGTGTTAATGCGTCGCGTCAGCGTAGTGCGTATGAGCCTTAAGTTTTAATGCATTAATTGTAGACTTCATGGAACTTTTATGCAAATATTTACTTGTAACATCTATACACATACAATAGGTAATAAAAAAAATAAAAAAAAAAAAATGTAATTTTATTTAATTACTAATACAATTTACCAATTATTCCAAATAAATAGAATAGTGTGAGAATAAAATGTATAACAATTATTATTCATAATGGGGTTGAATATAAACATTTTCCCAAACCATAATAACCATAATAAGTAGGTACTTTTTTTTTTTTTTAAAACAGCAGGTTAGTCTCTCTTACTATATTTATATCACCCATTACTATAGAACCAAGAACCTACCCTTTGGGTACTCATTAAATTAAACAAATAATTTTATGTTCCTTTAACTATTCATTACAGTTCAATATTCCAATAAAAAAGGAAATAAATTTAATAAAAGTCCAAAAAAAAACAAAAATACTAACAATAATTGTTCGAAGAAACCGTGTGTAGATTGTAAATGTAATCACAATGACAATGATTACAATGAATTTTATATGTCAGAAATAAATGAACGTATCGATAATGCTGAACATGAATATTTAATGAAAAAGAAAAAGAATACAAGTGTCCAAAAACAAAAAGGTATACAATCTATTAAAAATATTATCTATAGTGCACATACAAACAAAGATAACATTATTGTGTGTTTGAGCGAGCTTGAGAGTTAGTTTCAATGATTCCAATTAATAATAATAGTGGATACATATACCATGTTATTATTTTCAGTTATCTAGCTTTGTTTATATTGATATTTAAATTAACCATCTCAAAAACAAGTTAGATACCTATCTACCAGGTATCAATGGATATTGATGCTTATAAAACAGGATGCGATTATTTGAATATGAACATTGAATAGCTTGCAATGAAACAGCTTGCTATCCCCAAGTGCACACAATTTAAGACAAATTGTATCTATCGTTTTAAATAGGTACCTACCTACCTATCTACCTATATTACATGTCTTTTTCAGGTTTATTAAATGAAAAATTTCTCGGGATGATCGAGGAAATTAACAAAGACTTTAAACAAATAAAAAAATTATTCATGAACGGTACAAACAATAATTCATCGTGCGATTTTAATACCCATAAAATGAATCATATTAATAGTATGTCTGCCGGCGAAGATATTGCTGATAATAATATACTTGTTAATCGAAATACAAATGACCAAAACAAATATTACGACTTTCAAAACTCTGCTAAGTTTGAGTATAATGATGAATTTGACCGGTATATAAATAAAAGTCAACGTACAGCATGTTCTCAAGATAATATAGAATTTTGGTGTACAAATAATCAAATAATGTATAATGGACAGAGCTTACAGCATGAAACAATTGAAGGGCTTTATCAAATTAAAATAGAAGACCTAAACGCCGCGGGCGTAATAAATACTGTGCATTTCTTTTCGTGGGAAAATCAATCTATTTGCCAATGTGGAATGACGTATAATTCAAATTAATGGACTGGCTGATGACACGATTTAGCTGAAAAGCATGATTTAATAACTATAGGTCATTGGAAATTACATTTTAATAATATAATTTCATCTGTTCATTATATCGTCTTGTTTCTGTCAACACGGAGAATAAGTAATTAATACATTCATCATGAGCATAAAAATTTAATTTATTTTCAATATAAATTAAATTGATATTTAATTCTTATGGTGAAGTACCTACCTAAATAGATAAACAAAGTCCAAGAAGCTCATTAACTTATCTACCATCTCCCATTACTTTAATTAATTCCTTTGTTTCATCAAGCCATCGTATTCTTGTTGAAACTCTAAAATTCAAGTTTGTTTCTTCACTTTTTCTGAACGCTCATGTCTCGAATCCATATAACTATATAAGACTATTGGTCGTTTATAGTGTTTTGTATAATACTTATTTTTGATATCTGTCAACCCATAGCCGAGATACTGTGGTGTAACACAACAATTTGCCCCCCTCCCCGCAAAAATAAAAAATGTGTCCTTAAAATATATTTTAGGCAAAACATACACTGTGTGTAAGACACTCAACTTATTTCATTAATTTCAAAATATTAAACTGATGTATCTGTACATAACTTTTTTTTTAAAATTGCAATTGTTATTGTTATTTTTTAATTAAATTGTTAATTTATTATGACAAGTTAGTTAATATTACATATTTATAGACTTTTAATAATAGCATCCAATATTTTAAAAATGTAATACGTTCAATAATTTAATTATATGCCATTGTTTTATATTTTTCTCTGTATATCCCTCTAATGTGAGTATTTTTATTATATAAAAATAAATGTTTTACCTATATGTCTTCGTGGACTATTTTAAATGCTTTATACACTCGAATTATCTAAATTTTCAAATATTATTTATAGTGATAGACAATTTTGTTCTATTATTTACTTCTTAAGTTCTTATAGTAACTGTGTGTATACCATCGCTAGTTATTTTTAAAGTAGTGAACTGTAGTGAAATGTTTTATTGTAACACTGTAAATCTTTTAATAATCATTGCAATTGGAATATTATTCTAAAAAATAAATAGTAATAATAAATTTCTGTGATCTTGCATTTTTCGTGGCAAACTTTTCAACCAACGTATTTATATTTAAACTGCGTATTCTCTCGTTTTCAATACTTTGTAAATTCAAGTTTGTTAAACGAGCTTGTGCCATAGAACTTCTTAGACAATGTTTTACTAATTTTAATTTGGGAAACGAACGTTGTGCAGTTTTAAAACTGTAGCTACTTCCAGAACACTCAGTATCATTGCAATTATTTTTAGCAATTAATAATTCAACTAATTCTTTGACATTTGAAACTTCTGATATATTTTGATGTAACGCTTTTCTGAATAAAAGCATTTGCTGTACAAATAACAAAGACAAATCGTTTAAATAAAGTTCAACTAAATTTTTTGAAAAATTTGAAGTTCTGTATCTGAAAATTGTACTAAATCTTTAGGAAAAATAAATTTAAACCTATTCACAATACCATTCATACCCATAAAACATGTGCGAAGATATACTATTAGTATGTCTAAATTTATGTAGAATAAATTGATTTTTAAGTTTTTTTTCGGGATCAGTTAATCGTTGTTCAGTACAAAGTTTATCAAAAAACAATTAAATTAAAAATTAATTTCCTAGTTCCTACCCCAAAAAAATAAAAATTGAAAATACCAACTACTTGAAAGGTTAATGAAAAATACTTGTAAATTTGGCTTTGTCATTATTAAATAAGTTATATTGTTTGTTACCATTCTAAACCATATCACCGAGAGATACTGATATAAATAAATTAGTTTATATGTGTTTATATAAGAATACTTGTGCAATGCATCAAGGTCCCTGGTAGCATCCTATTTCTGGTATTAATCAGAATTCTATTCATAACACTAGAGACCTTTCAACCAAAGCCGATAGTCACGACGACGGCGATGATGGCGAACATTTAACGAAGACTGGTTGAGTGGTGTGTATTCCAATAATCAGTGGTCCGGAAACGTTCAAAATGATCAAATGCGAAAATAATTATATAGGTAGACAGTTTGTATCGCAATTATAAAACGCAATTATTCGCGTAGGAGAAAAAACTTAAATAACACATTTGTTTGTAATGTAAACTACGGTTAAATGAACTTATGTGTTATCAACACATAAGTTTTCTGTAATTTTTTTTCGTGGGGGAGGGGTGGCGGATTACACCCAAGGGGTGCAGCCTCTCCCACTGGGATATACACCTGAAAAAACAATGTTTAAAACATTTTCTTGTATTGTTATCTATTATAGATGAATAATAAATTGTGTTTAATATATTATCTGACGTTATTTTCTGAGGGGGTTTGGGGATAATCGTCAGGTACAAAGGCAATATAAAATATTATGCCCTCCATAAAAATTATGTTGGCAAACTTGGATAACTTGGATATTTCAATTAAATTTTGTCATTAACGTTTTTGAAATTTTCGACATTGTTTACGAAAAATAATAGATTTTAATTTTTTCGGAATTTATTTCAGAAGAAACATTAATTGTTGTTGAATAAATTTGATTTTAAATTACAATTATAGTTTTATACGATTCAGACTTTCGATTATAATAGTATACTGCTAAAATATACGATAAAGATAATATTATGTATATTATTTAAATGTGAGTAAATTTGTGTGAAACAATATTTTAAATTTAGATTATGTTTATATCTTTAATAGAGTACTTATATTTTAACTCTACGATTTTTTTTTCATCGTATAAAAATAGAAACACTTGAAGTTGTATTCGTAAAAATCGAACGGTTACGTAATTATTTTACACCAAAGGTTGAAGTAGGACAGAGTCGCTTTCTTATTTAAGGTAAAACTATCCGTCCCCTTTGGTTTAAGTCAGAGGTTTTAGCCTTCTACGAATCGTGACCACCTAAATTTTTTTTTCATGCAAGAATAAAAATTCTTTTTGATAAAAATTGTTTAATAGAAAACTTGAATACTATGATACACAGTATTTACATGAAACTTATAGTTTTTGATGGACCCTAACTATCAATCAACCTCTTTTCGGGTTACGGCCCCAAGATGGCCACTAATCCACCAGTCAAAGTCTTTGAAGCTCGGGAGGGCTCTTCAGTTATTTTTAATGAAATTTTAAAAATTCGATTTAGCTCTATAAACAATTTTTTTAATTTAATAATCAGACTGGTGTCGCTTTATTTTTATTGAAGAGATATATAATAATAATTTGTGTGATTATTTTTTTGGGGAGTGGAGGGGAAGGGGTGCAGTTATATTTTAACCCGATGAGCATTACATTTTCATGAATAAATGTGTGTGACCGTGTCAGAGAAAATGATTTTGAAACTGTATTATGTCCATGATGATGAGTTCCTTGAAAGTTTTGTTGGGTTAAATTTGTACTCGGGAACGTACCTTAATTATTGGTCGATTTATAGTCCTCATTCGAAGGTTTTCCTACCTACTTCAACTGTACTGTTTGACACGAAAAAACGGCTTATCGATATTTATTAGCTATTGGATACGTACCTGAAGTATTATAAGTATTAATTGTTTACATAATATATTTTTGTTATATTTTATATTTTTATGGTTTTAAAACTACAGTAAAACCTTCGTTAACGGTCACCTCTAAAAGACGATCACCTCTGTGTAACGATCATTTATTTTGGTCCCGTCAAGTGTTATAGAAAACCTCTAAAGGACGGTCACCTCTAAATAGCGGGTATTATTTCCGGTCCTTTCGGTGGCCGTTGTATGGAAGTTTTACTGTATTTCAAATCGTTTTCGTTTTATTGATATAGCACATTATTACATTAAGGGTGTCCCTCGAGATATCACCATTGTAATGTCTCAATATTATATTGTAATGTTAATTTATAATTGAAATAATACAATTTTTTTTTGCTCACATTTGTATTTCAATTAATTTTAATGTTTTAGTAAAAGAACAAAAAAAAAAAACTTAATTTTTATTATTCTAAAAAATGTCAAGATAGTCAATTTATAGAGTTTATATACTTTGGACAATTTTTACGTATTATTAACTTTTTATTTTCATTAAATTCGTAACTTTTAAAGTCCAGAGAAAAAAAGTGTAAGTACACAATTAATTACCTGGCCACAATTCTAGTAATCAATTAGCAAATGCAATTACAGCCTGTTGCATAATAATATACATAGATACTTTTTTCCGAATTTCAAAAAAAATTAATTCACGAATTTAATGAAAATAAAAAGTTGAAACGTTTTTAGAGAAATAAACTCAATAAAATGGCCATTCGTGGGTTATTCAGTATATAAATATTTTTATTTGTTAACAAATCAAAAGTTATGGAACAATGTAAACTATTGATGATAATACGCCGGACAGGTCATCATAGTGTCGCCTGTGCAATATTTTATTTTCAAAAACACGTCCACACATCGAAAATACCGATGCAATAAAACAAACACAATTAAATAAACCAAAAATCATTGCGAATTAGTTGCACAATTTATTCGCACATTAAACATATTATTATAATACAGTTTATAACAAAATATCAACGAATAACATGTATTATACAAAAACACAATAAGTCACCGGTTGAAAACGGCTTCCAAGCTGAACGGTTTGAAAAAGGGGGAGAAGCGACGACTCGATGGATTTGGTAAGTGAAGGTTTCGTTCACTAAAGGTCGACATCCATTCAGCTGGGACCGCTGCACATACGATTACTGATAATCAACCATCCCTTGGAGAGGAGAGGGGGGAATGTCGACTATGTGCTGTAACCGACTGCAACAATTTAATCGTAAACGTCGAAAACAATTGCGGATAGTTACTCTGAACCGGTTCCACCGGAACGATGACTGTTTCAAGGACAGTTTCGGCGGCGAATCCGTGCAACTGTCGCCAAAGTCCATGCGGAGCAAAACACTGTCGCCAAAACCGATTGCCCGCAGCGGAGTGTCCGGCGGCGGTGTAGGAGGTCCGTGCGCGTGTACAGCCGCGACGGCTGGTGCAGAATCCATTGTCAGTAACTTGGCAGCGGTCGTGAATTCAACGTTTCCGTTTGAATCGTTTGGTTCCCGCTGGTCTGCGGACGGAAGCGATTTGACTAGTCCGTCGCCGCGCGCACTGTCAACAAATTCGCGTTTCGAGCCATCGGCACAAACGGACGCCGCCGGTCGTCCGAACGTTCTAAATTTGTACGGGCTTTTGTCCAATATGCCAATGTGGCCAGGTCGAGGACTTCCACTACGCAAACCGGCCGTCCGCGGCGGTGGCGATCGACGTTAGGCTATCCCGAGTGTTCGTGATAGTATCAACAATAATAATGACGTTTTCACGAAAGCGAACCGTACTTAAAACGCGTTCAAAAAAGGCCGAAACGTTAAGATAAAAATTACGCGAATACGTCAAACCACGTTGCAGTTAGTAATGTTATAATATTATTTTCCGCGCGCAACGATTGTACAAGTTATTGTAGGAACTCGATAAACACCCACAACGGTTAATATAACAAATGCGGGCGGTCGCACAGACAGCAAATCTGCAATACGATTAGGTATAATGAATATCGTTTGACGAGGCGATATATTTTATTTAAATAATCATTTTTTCCCCCGTTTCTGAATTTAGAGCGCACCGAGCAATTTATCGGTTTTACGTTGACTGGTTGTATATTTTCGTCCGTTTGCGAACGACTTTTCTGCTAGAAATTTCGCTCCATTTGAATATCGTACTTCACTTTTGTTTACGGACGATTGTTATTATTATCTAATTTATGGATTTGGATCTGACACACGTTTACATCTCAGATAAATAAATAAATTATCATTTTCAGGTGTGATTTCCGGTAGTGAACTACAGTCTGTAGTCGGATCATCGAGGAGTTCACTTGACGATTTTGAATAACGAATAACGATCGAATTTGATTTAATCTTTTTAGTCGCTTCAGACATTCTTCTCGGGAAATACATTTGAGTTAGGCACCTACGCTAATTGATACCTATCTAATGTCAATATAATATTTGAATTTCATCCTCGGCATATTGTTAAAAATCTTTAAATTATTTGGAGAGGGAGGGGATAGATCCACCCAGTACCTATTTTTTAAATTTTTTATTCGATAATTAAGTAACTATAATATTGTAATTGAATAGAGTGAAGTATAATATTTTTAGAAATAAAAATTAAATTTAAGTTTTATTTTTAACTATTATCACTGGTAAGTGAAGAGCTTATATATCCATAGATATAATAACCGTCACCACCCTAGTTTAAATTTTACGTGATTTATAATATTTGTGTTTAGTGAATGTAATTAAAATCCAAATAAATAATAGCCAAATGAATACCATTTAAAGGAAAAGATTCTAATACAAGTGGCGAAAATTATGAATATATTATAATTATACAGGGTGTCCCGAAAATGTAGACCCATTGAAATATCTCCGAAGAAAAAAATATCGAATTCTGTTTTTTTGTTTTTTTTTTCCGTAAAATCCGTAATCCAGTGGGAACTTTTTGTTTTTAAGTCACTAAAGTAATTGTTAAGTTTCAAAATCAAATACCAACATAAAATACCTTATCAATTTTGGAAAGTTTGCGGATCTCATGGCAGTCAAGTTGTAAAGTTAATTTTTTATGTTATGATAAAAAAAACTAAAAAAATAGCATTTTATTTGCTAAAAATTCGAAGAGAGTCATTGTACAGAATTTATTCTTCTGAAAATATTGACGCATCAACTTTTTATTTCCATTGAATTCGTAAATTTTAATAATTGTTAAAGTTCGGAGAAAAAACCTATACAATATTATACAGCGGGTTGTAACCACATTCGTTAATCGATTATTATTGTTATGGTTAATTTATTGTAAACTTTTTATTTATTTTTATTAAAATATCAATAATCGCAGTGGCGCATTTGAGGCAATTTTATGGGGACGGGGGGGGGGGACATAAAAAAAAAATACAGAATTTGATTATGTTTAATGTCTCCGGATATATTATTATAACGGTTAATTAATTTTCGTGGGACACTCCGTATACACGCTTTTGAATATTGAACGATTTTCATCAGTTTATTTGAATTTTAAACAATTAATATTGTTATTATTATAAGTACGTGCTTGTAGCACACGGTAGTTGTAAGAAAAAATAAAAAACTATTATTTCTATTGTTCTCAAACTTGTATAAGCATATTAATATGATATTAATTAGTATCAATTATTAATAATCTTACCACGTGCTGGCACTATTATACCTGTGTTTTATTAACTACAAGGGCACCGAGAACGCGATTTACTGATATCGATATTATTATTTTATCGGATAATGAAATTCAGTGAAAATCATACATACCTACTTTTGAGTTTTATCTGAAACGGGTTCGACGGACGTACGACTAAAATGTCATCGACGCGTTCTTCCACGAAAACGACTGTTGCTGATGCGCCACGAAGAATATTCTAAGTTTTTTTTTTTTTTTTTTATGTATTTGTTACTTGGAAATGGAATACAATAATAATCATTATCATTTCATATTACCGATTATTGTTATTCGATTGAAAAAAAAAATTAAAAAAAAGTTGTGATCGCGATATTTTTGCAACATATAAAAAACATAAAAACGGCGAACTGTGTATTTTCGTCGAATGAAAATTAATATTAATAACATTTTAGAGATTAGATCGATTAATTAACTGTGTTGGTATTATTGTGAAAAAAATAACGTTGAGATGAATAAAATAACATACACTTGGGTAGCAATCTTCGTCTCTGAAAGACTCGGATCCCCCCCCTCCTATTTTTTTATACTAAAGTAACACAATCTTACTACAACTACTACACTACTTCTGAAAAAAAAAAATAGCCATATTTGAACATACGAATGCGTAGTTTAAAAGTTAAAACCCTTTAAAAACACACTTTTCGTCGTGAAAGTACAAAATTGCATCCAATTGGTTTAATTCGGGAAGGTATTTTATTTGGGGATGTTCAAAGCAAAAAAAAATAACCTAAAGCTAAAATAACTACATCCAAGTGTAGTACTTTTTTTGAAATAAAATTTTATCAATTGAAGTCATTTTTGGACTTTCCAAGCGGTTTTCATAATAAATGTGAAAAACCGGTAAAATGTACACGCATGTAAAAAAGAAATTTCGCTCCGAATTGTTTTTCGTTAAGAGTGGTTAATCATTGCATATAGACATAAATTGAATTCTCCCTAAATATTCTACTTCTATTACAACAGTAGCCCACCCATTGTGATTATGTCTGTTTTTTTTTTATATTAAAGTTAATTGTTATTGTAGTAAAGAACCATTTTTTTTTTTTTGTGATCAATTAAACTCCTACAGTCTATAATTGTATAAATATATAGGGATGTTTAATTATAAACACAAGGGGTCACGTACTCGTGTTAGACTAAGCCTCTCCTACTCTACTCTCCCCCGAAAAAACGCAGGATAAACGATTATTATACTTACACACTAAAATGTAGTAGGATATATTATTTAAAGAAAGTGTATTACGATTGTAAAATTAATTTCGTGTTATAAAATTAAAAGGAATTGGAGTTAACTCGATTGGACATAGCGGATTCAAAACTAATTCGTTATTTTTTTATTGAGTCGGGGAGATTGATGACGGTGTACGCTTTAGTCGATTTAGATACAAAAGCTTAACGGTACTGTAGGAGAAGTGCATTTGACGAATTTCGATTTTGGAAACGGATTGGGATTCTTTAGGTTATTACGTGAACGAAATTCGGCGAAAATGGGTCAGGTCTCTACGAATATTACAAAAAACCAGTCACGTTTTATGTTGTTGCGTAGATTTTCCCGTCTTAAAAAGAAACCTACGAATAACGACACAGCATCGAAAAACAGACATCTCAACTAATTCGTTTCTCGTTCGCTCGGAATCTGAAAAAAATTTAAAACTCGATGTGCTATTCGTTTTAACATCGGGTTTCAAAAAAAAAAAAACCTCTCAATAGCTGCTATACTCGGTCAATGAAGTATATATAAGCATATACAGTATAATAACGTTTTACTTTTCTTTTTTTTTTTTTCCAATGGACGTTCATTTTTATCAGTATACTCTACCTGTGGGTACCTAGGTATAATAATAGCTCGCGATCTGTCTGATATTCTGTTTTATTCTTTCGGTTTTCTATAACTCGCATATTATTTTTATCTACTTAATTTTAAAGGTCAACCAAAGTCAGCAGAAGTTAGTTGGTATGTTAAAAACTAATATATTATACCTGCTATAATCTAATTAATTTTATTTTTATTTTTTAATAAAGCGATATTATGTATAGGTAACAATAATTGTAGGAATAACAGGAACGTTTATTATATTATTATATTGGTGTATTTGATTTGACGAAGAAAATAAAAATGTTTAATCAGTGTAATTAATAGTTTCAACGTTTACGATTTTGGGTTTTTATTTCGTTCGACTGTTTCGAAATTAAAAAAAATACTGCCGATATGCGTTGCTGACGAATAAAGTTTCTGAGCAAAGTTCGGATATGTCCCACCTACATAACGGTTGTTTTCGTCAAATTTCGTTCTTAAAACGTTCATAAAAAAAAAAAAAAAAAACCAGACGAACATTTAGAGCGAAACTTTTGCTGGAAAACATTTTATAATAACGGAATCGCCGTACAACCCCACCCGTACCCGGCACTCCAATTTTTCCGATAATTATGAGAACGGTTCGGAAAATCGAGAAATATCATCGCGGCGAGATTTACGGTAAGGTTAGGTGAGGTAACACGGAAACTCGGTCCGCTCAGAATTTGAAAGTTTCCGCGACAACAGTACAGCGGGCATTATAGGCTTGTCGTGGGTGCCGAGTCTGCGTAATGAATTTGGCGATTTGGCGTTTCGAGAAATAATTTATAGCGCGCACGAGACGTTTTATGGATCCCAATTCGTATTAAAAAAATTTCGTGTGTACGAGATAATAATAACAGTAAACGACCTGCGATTTGAAGGTGATCGCGTTAATGAACCCCGTTTTATCATCAACCGTTAGCGCACACATTATTATAACTCTCGATCCGTCTAATTAGTGAACCTTCGCATTATAATAACATCGATACGCCTATATAAATTATACTGTACACTTGGTATACACCTAGTGAAATCCATTAGACCGTACCGTAATATAATGCGATTAAAATGTATTTCAGTAAAAATTGTTTTCATAAAAATCGAATGTCAATCAGGTCGTGTATTAAAAATAAGACCGATTATGTATATTATTTTGTACGCGCTG